CCATTAAAGTTTAAAATAGGAGAATAAAAGGGAAAACAAAAAAAAACCTTCTAACTTAAAAACTGGGTACTCATTTAATAAAAACAAATTCTAACTTAAAAAGAGTGAATAGTTTTTCTACTCATTGCAAAAGCAAGTTGCAATATCCAGCTAAATTTGTATGTTATTTAGCTGTTATTTTATCCAGCTAAATTTGCTTGCAATTTTTGCACTGAAATAATCGTTATTTGGAGTTTTTTATTACATGGATGTTTCCAGAGGTTTAAGAATAGTGGGCTATGTACAGGTGAAAATATTATGCTGCTATCCAAGAGTAATCAGAAAATTACACAGCCAGTGAATTGGCCAGAGGGTACTTTATTCAATTGAATTTAATAAGATGTGCCCTCTCAAGTCTGATCTCTCGCAAGAGGATTTCATGGGTTTTCAAATTCGCATCTATTCAGGGAGATGGTGTTGATCATCATCCTAGGGACATGGTTGATTTTCAACTTTCATAATGAATTTGATTTGTCCTGAAACCATTTGAAAATTTCTTCTCTGAGTCTATTCAGGTAGAAAAGCATTTGAATGAGTTAATAGATCCATGAAATGAGTCTAGTTCATTGAGCATCTAAAAGAGGACCAAATATCCTAAGTAGTGTTTTCTCTAAAGAGAGCTTGTGGAAACGGCTAATGATGGCTCTATGATCCCAAAGCAAAGAGCAATACCAGGAGGTGAAAAAAGTTTTAAGTGCATCCTGATGATCTGGCATTTGGACAGCAAATTACCATAGAGGTCAATGTGCGATAATTTCATATCCAAATACAACATTAAAGATGAAGCAATTGTCTGAATAATTACCAACAGAAATTCCCTGTTATTAAGAAGGAAACATTATTTCTTTAATCATCCGGACTATTTCTACAGATGGATCATATTAACTGAACAATTATTTAACTTTTCAATTTGTTGTGACTGCGTGATAGGGCCTCTGGGACCCACACACAAGAACATTTATCTCAGAGGAAAAACTCATTCTGCCTTGAGTCTTGCACTGACAAATCGCATTATAGCAACTTTATTGTTTCTAATTAAAAATTGCTGCTGTACTAACAAGTAATAAAATTTTTTTCAAATAACAATGCAGTCTACCTCCAGAATAAGAGAAAGAGAAGAAAACCTGGATGATACGCAATTCAACAGACATCAGGGCCTTTCACACAGGTGAACACTCCCTGCTTCCTGACTTCATAGGCATTTCCCCCTCCTTCTTCTAGTGACTTTCTTTTTGTTCCTGGCCTCATCCTTGGATCTCTTCCCTTCTCCTTTTTCTTTAATCCTCACCCAAGGATATTTTTCCATTGATTTTTAGAGGGAGTGGAAGAGAGAGGGAAAGACAGAGAGAACTACCGATATGAGATAAACACATCGATTGGTTGCCTCCTGCACCAGCCCTGACCGGGGCTCAGTCCAGGGAGGGGCCTGCAACCAAGGTATGTGACCTTGACTAGAATCTAACCCAGGATCCTTCAGTCCACAGGCCAACGCTCTATCCACTGAGTCAAACCAGCTAGGGCTCTCCCTTCTCTTATCCACAAGTTCTCCCCCAGATTAACCTACCTGATTGCCTAGTTTTAAATACTATCTATATGCTGATTATTCAACTGTTTACTTGCCAGCTGTACAAACCAATCATTTTTCATTCATTTCCCATGTCAGTAAGCCTTGTGTATTTCACCACTAATTTTAGGGGGAATCTCTCACTTCTCATTGACCGAGTCCTAGCTACAGAATTTTTTTTCAGCTTTATTGAGATACAATTAACATATAACTTTCTATAAGTTTAAGGTATACAACATGATGATTTGATACATGTATACTATATTCAAAATGCTTACTACAATAAGGTTAGTTAACATTATGCATAGCCTCACATAATTACATTTTTTGTGTGTGGTGAGAACATTAAGATTTACTCTCTTAGCAACTTTAAGTATATAAGTATAGTTACAATGCTGAATATTAGGGCCCCATAATTTATTCATCTTATAATTGAAAGTTTGTACACTTTGACTAGAGGCTCTCCACTTGCTTCACACCCCAGCCCTAGCAACCACCATTCTACTCTCTGTTTCTATGTGTTCTGCTTCTCATTGATCCAACATGTAGGTGAGATCATACAGTATTTGCCTTTCTCTGACTTATTTCACTTAGCACAGTGCCTTCAAGGTCCATCCATGTTGTCACAAATGGCAGGATTTCCTTCTTTTTATGGCTGAATGATATTCTATTGTGCATATACTAGTATGCACCATAATTTCTTTATGCTCTCATCCATCAATGAACACTTAGGTTGTTTCTGGATCTGGGCTATTTTGAGTAGGGCTGCAATGAACATGGGGTTGCAGATATCTCTTCAAGGTAGTAATGTCATATCCTTTGGATACATACCCAGCAGATTACATGGAAGTTCACTTTTTAATTTTGTGAATCACCTCCATACTGTTTTCCATGGTGCACAAGAATTCCATTTTTTCCACATCCTCACCAACACTTGTTACTTCCTGTCTTTTTTATAAAAGTCATTTTCGTAGGTGTGAGGTGATACCTCATTTTGGTTTTGATTTGCATTGCCCTGGTAATTAGTGATGATGAGCATCGTTTCATGCACCTATTGATCATTTGTATGTCTTCTTTGGGGGGAAAATGTTCAGATGCTCTGCCCATTTGTAATTAGATTATTTTGGGGTTTTGCTATTGAATTGTATATTTTTGGATATTAACCTCTTATCTGATATAAATGGTTTGCAAATATTTTCTCCCCATTCCATAGGCTGTGTTTTCATTGTTTTTATTGTTTCTTTTGCTGTGCAGACGCTTTTTAGCTTGATGTAGCTTCACTTGTTTATTCTTGCTTTTGTTGCTTGTGCTTTAGTGTCAGATAAAAAAAAAATCACTGGAGCTTTTCCCCTCATTTTCTTCTAGAATTTTTACAATTTCAGGTCTTACATTTAAGTCTTTAATCCATTTCAAGTTAACTTTTGTAATAAGATAGGGGCTCCAATTTTATTCTTTTGCATGTGAATATCCAGTTTTCTGAACATCATTTATTGTGAAAAAATATCTTTTCATCAGTAAATATTCTTGGCGTCTTTGTCAAATATATATTGACTGTATAGACATGGGTTTATTCCTGGGCTATGGATTCTATTCCACTGGTCTAGCTATCTGTTTTTGATGCCAGTACCATACTGTTTTGATTACTATAGCCTCACAGTATAGTTTGAAATCAGGAAGTGTGATGCCTCCAGCTTTGTTCTTTTTCAGAATTGCTTTGGCTATTTGAGGTCTTTCCTTTCTGTCTCTAGATACACAGACCAAGCATTCTCCTGCCCCAGGGCCTTTGAATTTAATATTTCTAATGCCTGAAATGCTTTTCCCAGATCTTTGTGTAGCTTTGCTCTTTTGTTTCATTCAGGTCCCCACTTAAATATTACCTTCTTATAGAGACCTTCTTAATCACTCTCTGAAATAAACATTCTCCCAAACTGTCCTTCAGGGACCAGTCTCTATCCCTTTATCTCACTTCATTTTTCTTTATAGCTTGTCTATTGTCTGTTGTTCCCACTAGAAGGCCAAGTTCTCTGAGGGCAGGGACTTTGAACAGATAGTGTCTGAAGAGTACCACATAATAAATATTTGTTGAATGAGTAAATAAACTGTGCTGTACATGAGGATGTAAAGATTAATAATACATGAAGCATCCTTTAAGGAGTTCAAACTGTAGTTGGAGAGGAGGGTCATCAATAAATACTATAGAGTGTGATAAGAATCCATAATAGACCAATGGCAGTATACACAAGGAAAAACAAACACAGAGGGCAAGATTAACTAGAAGTCTGAGCTGGGTCCTGAAGGAAATTCAAGGCAAATGGTAATGGGAGTCAAAAGGTGGACATTAGGCACTGAATGTAGAGGGAGAAATGTGGGTAAAGATATGAGAAAGTGAAGCAAATAGATTGCTTTCTGGAAAATTGGGACTATATTGCTAGAGTGCCACATGAAAGGAGGGGTATGGGACTAATGATGGGACTAATGATGAAATAAGGATCCAAATCAGAGAAAAGGTGTGGTATGCTATGCTGAAGAAGATTGCTGTAGTAGTGAACTGTGTTTATATGTGTACTATGAAATATTCATCAATCATAATACTTAGCAAATGGAACTTTCAATCAATTTGACTACCAATTAATTGAGGGTTTCCAACCTTTGGGAACATCTTGTTAAATATATTTTTAAGTTGTGACAGCAATTTCCCTATATTTAAAAGTATAATGAGCCTAATATAATGTAACCTGTTTGATAGTTTAATATTTTTTGAGCATCTGTCTTTTTTCAACTATTAAACTCTATAACTGGTGAAGAAGGTATATGAGGCCAATCTCTGTGCGTGTGTGTTTCTTTATAATCCTACTAGAGGCCCAGTGCATGAATTTGTGCACGGGTGGGGTCCGGCTGGCCCACCCCGATGGGGGCCCATTGACGGAGGGGCCACGGGTGGTTGGCTGGCCGCCCCCGCCCCCGATTGGGGGCCAATCGGGGCCCAGATCAGGCTGGTTGGCTGCCACAGTGCACGTCATAGCCACCAGTCGTTCCAGTTGTTCTGGTCATTCCGCCTTTCTGGTAGCTGGGCTCAGATAGATAGATAGATAGATAGATAGATAGATAGATAGATAGATAAAATAGTATTTGCATATTGTTCGGTTATCTTGTGATGGTCTGCCAGAAAACCTTTCAATTCAAAAACAAAATCTGTGAAATGGGGTGAAATCATTTATAATATTCCTTGTTTCTTAAAGAAATTAAATTGTAAAAATATTACTAAATTGTGTTATTGTTTCAGAGCTATAAGAAAGCAAGACTATACCATCTGATAATATAGATGTGAAATTAATTTCCTTTTTAAAAGAAGCTGGTACTATTTCTTACATAAAAAACAACAGAGAATTTGTATCCACCTCCGTTTGGGCTCATTGCTTAAAGGGGTCTTCAACCACAGACTTGTAGGATTATAGAACTGAAAAAGATTCCTGGACAGTTCAAATGTCATATGGGGTTAATGACTCACAGACTCTTTCTGGAAAATTGGGACTATATTGCTAGAGTGCCACATGAAAGGAGGGGTATGGGACTAATGATGGGACTAATGATGAAATAAGGATCCAAATCAGAGAAAAGGTGTGGTATGCTATGCTGAAGAAGATTGCTGTAGTAGTGAACTGTGTTTATATGTGTACTATGAAATATTCATCAATCATAATGCTTAGCAAATGGAACTTTCAATCAATTTGACTACCAATTAATTGAGGGTTTCCAACCTTTGGGAACATCTTCTTGTTAAATATATTTTTAAGTTGTGACAGTAATTTCCCTATATTTAAAAGTATAATGAGCCTAATATAATGTAACCTGTTTGATAGTTTAATATTTTTTGAGCATCTGTCTTTTTTTAACTATTAAACTCTATAACTGGTGAAGAAGGTATATGAGGCCAATCCCTCTGTGTGTGTTTCTTTATAATCCTACTACAGGCAAGGTGCATGAATTCGTGCACAGGTGGGGTCTGGCCAGCCCACCCTGATGGGGGCCCATTGCCGGAGGGGCCATGGGCAGTTGGCCAGCTGGCCCCGCCCCCAATTGGGGTATTGGGGGCTGATCAGGGCCCAGATCAGGCTGGTTGGCTGCCACAGTGCACATCATAGCCACCGGTCGTTCTGGTTGTTCTGGTCATTCTGCCATTCTGGTCATTGGGCTTTTATATATAGATAGATAAAATAGTATTTGCATATTGTCCAGTTATCTTGTGATGGTCTGCCAAAAAGCCTTTCAATTTAAAAACAAAATCTGTGAAATCATTTATAATATTCCTTGTTTCTTAAAGAAATTAAATTGTAAAAATATTACTAAATTGTGTTATTGTTTCAGGGCTATAAGAAAGCAAGACTATACCATCTGATAATATAGATGTGAAATTAATTTCCTTTTTAAAAGAAGCTGGTACTATTTCTTACATAAAAAACAACAGAGAATTTGTATCCACCTCCGTTTGGGCTCATTGCTTAAAGGGGTCTTCAACCACAGACTTGTAGGATTATAGAACTGAAAAAGATTCCTGGACAGTTCAAATGTCATATGGGGTTAATGACTCACAGACTCTTGAAAAACAGAGAGCTTTGAGAGTTGTGAATCAAATTTCTTTCTACTCACCCTGCTTCTTTCATATTCTTTCCTGGAGGCAGCAAATACCTGAGCATTAGATATGGCGATTCCACAGAATGGAAGATACATCTGCATAACCTGGGGGCAAAGAGAGTTAAGAGCATTGAAACATCACTGAACAAGATTCCACATTTCCTGCATATACTTAATTGTAAAACTTTCTTTTCCACCATAGAGACTGAGTAAGGCATTATTGATACTGGTAGCTTAACTTCAGAGGCATATTTTTCAGAGTTAACTATAAGATGGTCTCAATCAAGCTTTAAGTAAAGACAGTAACATCTAAGAAGACATAAAGTAAAGCTACACATTATGATGGCTCTGAGACAGGAACTGTGTCTAAGTCATCTTTGTCTTCCTTCTTTGAACAATGAGAAAGGAATAAACTCTGATATATCTAGAATTTAAGGCTCACACTCAAATTTAGAGGTAGGCAGCATCTAAGTCAATTTCTTGTACATATGTATCTGTAGCATGGAATCTCAGCTTGATCCTAGAACACTGTCAGCTTCAGATACAAATATTCCTGTTAGGATTGGCCCAGTAAGAACTTAGGGGCCAGAGAACCTAGTAGCCTCATGCAAAAGAGCGCAAACTGTGTGCTACTCTGCAGACATAACTGGACATGAATGCAAATTTGTGGGATGGTCCTACAGAAGTCTGTTTGAAAAAAGGCTGGGAATTCTTTAAGAGAGCACTCCTCCTACAGGAAGAAACAGGTCTGATGGAACTGATCCTAACAAATCTTTCTCATCACAAGGGGTCTAGTGTACATCTAGGGATTTTCAGTACTGCCTGGTATTCACACGCAAATTCAATTCCACAATCTCTAATTCCAGAGGAAAAGAGAATGCCCCAAGTAAAAACCTAAAGCATTATCTCCCTAAACTCTTCATAAAATAGGATATTGTGACAATTATATATATTTGGGACTTCTCTAAAGCAGAGGGATAAGGGCATGTTTTTATATTACATTCTCTCTCTCTCTCTCTCTCTCTCTCTCTCTCACACACACACACACACACACCACATGCCCTGCAAAAATATACAGAGCAGTCACAAAACAGAGCAGTTTCTGCCATGCGCAGAGGGCAGAGCAGTGCTCACAGTTGTGGGGAGGGATGAGAACAGCAGGAGCAGATCTGCCCATGGACACACACATATGCAAGTCTGAGACACCCCTGGGACACCCAGAACATAATTACTTGGAGTGAAAGATGATTTTGCAGAGGCTTGAGATGGACAAAAGATGAAGGAAAATTCAATTAAAACCTTGCTTTGGCTACCTGGGCATACTCAACTCTGACCTTGGGTCCCCAAAAGTATTTCAGAATGCTGTAGAAGCTAATACTGTGACCCCAGTCTTAAAGAAGAGAGAAAAATAGTAGGATTGGTATTAAGTAGAGGTATAAAATAAATGGTTTCATTGTTGCAGATATTTTTCAGGATAAATTCCTTCACCGAATTTGATTTAAAGTAAACCAATATTTAATAAGGACCTGCTTTATGCCAGATACTCTCACTTCATTTCTTCATTTGAATTGCACATCAATTCCCCACGGAGGAGCATTATGTACTAGTATTTTACAGATTGGGAAACTCAGTAACTTGCTCAAACTCACACAGGAACTCAGACTCATCTAATTCTACAATTGATGCTCATTCCTACATGTTGCTTTTGAGAACTAAATGTTATTTCTGTCACCCCCTCTTTCCCCTTCCTTACTACTCCTCCTCATGCCTTAAGAAGTTTGTCAATAAACCATTACAAAGCTGTCAACCTAAAGCTCTTGGATACTCTGCCAGAATTTCCCTGCCTTGGCCAGAATGGGACCATTTTCAACTTCACCTACACACTCAGACAGCATTTTCTTGCAGTTTTCTGGTTTTGTGTTTTTCTCTGCAGTAGAGAGATTGACAGTGATGGAGGTGGAAGGGAGGAGACGTGGGTTATTTATTTTAACTTTCCATCTTTTCTTCCTTTCTGTATTTATTTGCCTTCAGGGGCTAAGTTTAAGGTGGATTTTATAGGTCAAGCACATAGGAAGATGACAATGATCAAATAAACATGTGAAATGCTTTCTAATATATCACAGGCTTGCTTTAATTTGTTTGTAGTACCATTATTTGTTGAGCTACAAGCATTGTGTATAATTAAAAAGAATCTGACTTTTAAATCAGATGACCATTGTCCTTTATTTGGCTGTTCTGTGAGAAAGTCAACAAGTCACTCAACCTCTCTGAACTTACTTCTTTATCAGTAAAATTCCTGGTTTAACTGGATAATCTTTCTGGTCCTTTTTGTTCTAATATTTGGAGATTCTAATAATTAGAAACATCAGTGAACTGCAATATTCTATTTGCTAGAGAAAACAAATAATTCAATAAATATGCTCATATGTTAGTCAAGATAATCACTTCTAGTAGTCATTGATATTTATAAAGTCCTTGGATATGATGTTAAGCATTTTATATATACTACGTCATTTGATCCTCACAATTATGTAGGTTATACTATTTGTCCCATTTTTCAGAAGAGAAAACTGAGGCTTTATAAACTTATTCAAAGTTGTTTGAAGATAAATCCTCCTTGGTCTCTTACATTTCTGCACATCTTAGAAACAAAGGTATTGGCTCTGTCTTTCAAGGTGTTTGTATAGTGAACAGCCTTGGAAAAAAAGATAATGTCTTTTTCCAGAGCAAGAGCAGAATTACTATGCAATATAATTAAGATAAGATCACTCTCTGGAGCAGAGTTCAGGCAGGCTAACTGTCCATAATAAAAGATTTGGCTTCCCTACATTTGAGGTTCCTCTCCCATAACACATGCCCTGGGTAATCTACATGATAATGTTACTGGAGATTTTATCTCAAGCCAAAGCACCTGTTCACATATCATTAAGACTGTTGTTTGTTTGTTTTCACTTGTCTTATAAGTTTACATATAAACTCCACAACATAGTTACTTAGTACTTGTAATTGCAAGGTAAGAGCCCCAGGAACAATTACTAAAATTCATGTTAAATTTCTTTACTACTTTGTTCACTAAGCCAGTTGCTATTGATTTTTTTTTATTTCATTGATTCTCTCCTCTACTATATTACATTTTCCTTTTATTTTAGTGATAAAACTAGAAAAGTTATGTACAGACTTAACAAAATCTAAATTTAACACCTTTAGACTCCTTGCAAATAAAATAAGGACCTTGGAATACTTTAACTCTTAACACTACTTTCCTGGTATACATATTACTTTTTTTCCTTGTTCTGTCTTGTTTTGTTACTGTAAATTGGACATCATCATCATTATTATTATTAGTTGATGCTTACTTATATTTAACCACAGATTTACCAAATTTTCCCTATTCATTCCTTTCAGCATCTTTTTCCTCCCACTCTGGGATTATTTTCTTATCTTTAAAAGACAACGCTTTAGAATATCCTTTAGGATTGGTGGTAAATGATTTGTTTTTGTTTTGTATAAAAATATCTTTATTTTATGATCATCTTAAAAGGTAATTTAGCTGGGTATGCAATTTTAGGTTGACAGATATTTTCTCTCAGTTAGAAGATATTATTCCCCTATCATGTGCAGTTGATGAGGCTAAAAAGTCATCTTTCAATCTAATTCTTTGTAGATTATCCATCATTGTCTTTGGTTTCTTTTAGAACCTCTTTATGTCTTTGTTGAGTAACTGTACTTTTCCATCCTCAATCAAAAGCTTAATGAATCACACACACACACACACACATAAAGATTACTATAGAGACAATATCATACCTTCATGACACATTGCAAACTGATAGGGGAATTCATTTACAAAGGGAATGATCTACACTGTGTGATTCATTCATTGGCACAATAATTGAACACTTTGGGGCCAGACTAAACTCCATTATGAATATCCATATGACAATATAATCAATAGAATTTCTATATAAATGTACAGGATAAGCAGGCAAATACATTTGAAAGCAGGAAGTAAGAAGAAGCTGAAGTAGTAGGGAAATAGAAGATAATAAAAACCAAAATATTTTAATATCCTTTTTTTTTCCATCTCAGTGCAACAGATATCTTTTTTAAAAAGATCTATTGCTCTATTCTGCTCTTTCTGAAGTCCCCCTCCTCCATAAAAAAAAAAATACTAATTTGGCATTCACTACCTAGTTTCTGAATGCCAAAAGGTAAAAAAGCCAGAATGACTAAGAAGCTAATGAGTCTGTACACCCTTGTGCAGCACTTTTCAGCTTGAAAGCACTTTATGGACATTGGCTAATTAATCTTTACAACATCCCACTAGAAAGGGAGTTAAACTGAAAACCATTAAACAGTGTGAAAAAGTCACTTTAGCCCTGGAAACTCATGAAAAGTATCACTAATAAGCATAAACTGTGAGCACTGGGACTTTCCATCAATGTCCTAAGAAAGACAGTAAGTACCAAGCCTTTGTAAACTTATACACCACAGAGAAGGCTATTAAAACCCCATGATCTGGTCTGGTCCAATTATATATCATTAAAGAACACTGGGGTTCTACACTAGAGATTCTCAGCGAGGGGCCTGGGGCCATCCCCTTTATGGACCCACTCCTGAAGGCAAAGCAGCTTGAAGAGCCACATCACTGTCAGGCAAATTAATGGGTTAGAGGAGGCTTTCCACCATCATGCAACATCTTCCTCTGTGCAATTCCTGAGATGTGGCTCTATGTCCCTTCTGCCCTCAGGCATTAATTATTGGGCAAAGCTTCACTGATTTGGGTCCCACTGATTTGAAATTGGTGATGTTTTAAGATAGCTGTAAAACAAACGCTAAAAAAAAAATCTTCAAGTAGAGTAACATTATCTTCACATATAAAACATTTTCCACATCTTTTAGAAATAGACTATTAAAAACACTTTTAAAAATGGGTTTGAAGTTTTTCAGACTCCAGAGGAAATTCCTGCTTCTAGAGTAGAGTTTGGTTCATTGCAATTTTGTGTCTATGCAATTTCAGTAAAATCAATAGGTCAGGTTCTATTTCAAAAATCAGTATTGTAAATGAATCATGTCAGCTCACACCAAAGTACATGCTCTTGGCT